ATAATTTGACCCGAATATAGCTAATCAAATCAACTGACATGACAAACAGTTCCATTGTAAGTGTTAGATTTAATCGTGATTGAGATTATTTACGTATGTTTTTTAATAGTTTAATACAAAAGTCCTCCAGTTAAAAATAAATTAATCAGATATTTTTCATCTATATAACACGATCAGTTTTTATTTTATTTCAATAATTCTCTTTCATTAAAGATTTATCTGATCATTTAATTTTGTATTTACATATAAATAAAATGCATATAGATTGCTGACTGCAGAAAAAAATATATCAATCTATAAAATAACAGGTGTCAATATTTTAGAAAATTCAATCAACCGAAACGAAATCAGATATTATTTTTCTTTTGAAAATAATTGTTCCTATGATAGAAAATAAAAGCAAAATATAATCATTCCAAAAAAAAAGAAAAACAAAATAAATATATAGTTGAATCAATAAATAGAGATTTCAATCTTCCTTTTTTTTCTCTTAAGACATAATAATGTTATGATTGAATCCATTTAAATAATCATTTAACTGCATTACATTGTAATCTTTTTATTCTATCACTAATTAAAAGTAAAAAGAAAAAACGTGATCTAGCAAACCGTTCTATTCATTACATATATTTTTGTCTTATATCATTTATATCTATTCGCTACTATAATGTACATTCATGAAGGTTTCGACGTTTTTCTTTTTGCGTTCTTCTTTTTTTTCTTTTTCTTTTTTTCACCTGTGCTCAACAGAATACAAATACAATCGAAACATTACATATTATAATGCATATGATGAAACACGTACATCGTTGTTATAGGTTTTAAAAGAAGAGAGAGAGAGAGGGAGAAAAAAAACATACATAATATATATATATATATCGATGAGTTTAATCGTACCACATACATTTACATTTGACTCTCAAGTTAATAATGATAATGGAGATAAATCACCATCAATTATATCAACATTATCTTCTCCTACATATCAAACAAATCAAAATGTTTCTCGATCACCATCACTTAATCCATCGATTGTAAATCGATCAATACGTTTACAAGCTGGACCATCTATTGATATTCCAATTGATTTAAGTGATGATGAAAATGATTTTGATGATAATGCATCAGCTAGAGAAAATTATCGTTTTGGACCACAAATTATTCGTGCACGTATTTCAAGACATAATTCATTTAAATTAACAACAAATTATCAAAGATATTTTCGTTCATCACAACGTAAATCTGATCTTCTTGTTATACAAGCACCACCACCCGGATCAGTTACAATAACAGGAAAACAAAATACAATATTTCAAAATGGTGGATATACATCTATGGTTGATAATCAAGCTGTTTTAATTGGTACAAATGCATTAAAAGAAGTACGTGGTCAAACACTTCTTCATTTAGCTGCACGTCTTGGTCATGACGAAATCATGCGTTTATTAATTTGTGAAACTTCACAAGCTAGTATGTTAATGAATAAAAAAGGACAAACACCATTATTAACAGCTATTGAAGCTGGTTCAATATCTACAGCTACTTTATTAATGGAAGCCGATCCAAGATCAATTATTGCTAGTGATACTAATGGTTCTAGTGTATATCATTATGCATGTGAACATTGTAGTGATGTTGTTTTACATCGTGCTATTACATTATCTAAAAGACTTAATTCGACTAGTGATCGAATAACTGTATGTATTAAATGTTTGTATTAGTATGAAATATTATGTTTTGTTTTTTAGGCATTACGTCGTATAGCTGAAAGAAATTATGCTGGTAAAACTCCATTTGATATAGCTATTGAAAAAGGTCAATTAAAATGTGTAAAACATATAGTTTTATCATCATGGCTTGAAGCAAATATTGATATGAGAGAATTAATTGATGCATCATCAATGAAAAATGCTATTGATCAAGATCAATTAGATATTTTAACATTTTTTATTTCAGAACCAAAACGATTTGCTTATATTATTCATTTATTAGTCGAGTTTAATGGACGATACTTTAATTTGGTAAGATAAATTTTATTCATTATTTATTAAAGAAAAAATAAAATGATATAAGACAATTAATAACAGTAAAATATTTCCAACTATTATTCAATAACTTCTCACTCAAGAATAAATAATATACTTTTAAAATATAAAGATATGATATTTCGAAAAGTATACATTAATATATATATATATTAGTAGAAAGTGAATAGAACTTATAACAAAATATATATATATATATTCTTACAGAATTAGAATTCTTATTGAAATCATAAATGAACTTGATCGTTTTTTGAATAGTTTTTGAAGGGAATGACATAGAGTGAGCTGCGATTTTTACCACTGGAAAGAAGCGTTGAAGATGCATCGAACTATATATGAAAAGATTTTTCTGATTACTTTCCTAAGAGTTTTATGTAAAGTTTCTAGAAAGCTAACATGTCTCGTGTAGTCGCGATATTCACTTATTTTACTTTTAAGGGTGCATTAGAACCGTCAATCGAAGAACTACAAAACTGCATAAAGATTCTATTCCTAGCTGCAACTAATAAGTCACTGAAGTGCAAGTTATGACGCTATTTTTTCAAGAAAATAATCGAAAAATGGATGCTTTTCTTATATGTTTTTTAACATATGAGAAAAAAAGCAATTTTTTGAGAAAGTCTGACTAAAACTCTTATGAAAATAGTCAGCAAGATCTTGTTCGATGGGTATTCATTGTCTCTTACCAATGCTGAAAAGCACAGCTCTCTTTATGTCATTCCCTTCAAAAGTTGTTCAAAAGAAATACCCATCCATCTTTTTTTTTTTCGGTATGAGCATTAGTTTATTCAATCACTACTAAAAATCAAATATATGTCAAGGTTTTTCTTCGTATATATTAGATTCAAATCAAACAAAAACCGTTTCTAATTACTTTATTTTCAGTTGATAATATCTGATATAATCTCATGTTAAGTTTATGAAATAAAATAACGTAATTAATAGTTTTTTATATCTTGCAATTGAATAAAAGTTAATAAAATATGATTCTTTAATAGTTTTCATTTTATTTATTTGTTTTATTTCTAGTTAGAATATGCTATAATATTAAAAAAGAAAGATATTGTTCGATTATTTATTAGTGTACGTATACCTATTGAACAATATAATTTTCGTTATGAATATAAAGAATTTTTAAAACATTATAATGAACCATATATTCAAGCAAATTCTTTACCTTTTTATCAAACACCTATACAACGTATGTTAACAACACCTGAATGTGTACCATTAGTACCTCTTATATTAGAACAATTTGTTAGTGATCATGGAATTGATCTGTCAATTGTTGATGATTGTTTATATGCTCGACCGATAAAAACAAGATGTATATTTGGACGAACAAAACATTTTTCAACAGATAATTGGCTTCAACAACATCCATTGAGTAATTAAAAACAAAAAATAATTTTTAAATATTAAATAAAGAAAAATTATTTTTTATTTTCTTTTTCTTATCTAGCTTTAATTGCTAAAGCTGATTGTAAAGATGTATATGATCATCGTTTAGTTCGTTTATGTGTTGATTTAAAATTTAATTTATTTGGAAATTTTCTTTATTTTATTATACTTTGTTGTCAATCAACATATGTTGCACTATATACAGGTATTGCATTAGGTTCACCAACACCAGCTGATCAAGGTACAAATTATTATGAAATGGTTAATTATTCATGTTTTGATTTATGTATAACATTAGCAAATGATCCACAAAGACCAGCTACAAATCATTCGGCATTACGTGCTTTACGTTTAATTTTATTGATTTTATCTGGTTTTGCTTTATTAAAAGAACTTTTTCAAATTCTTACACAAAGAGAAGAATATTTTCGAAGATTTTATATTAATCTTATTGAATTACATATGTATGTAAGTATCGATTAGAGAAATCTTTATAGTTTCATTTTCTTTGGAATATAAATAAGTACTATTCAACAAAATAGTATCTAAATTCTTTTTGTGGTTGCGAGTCTTCTCTTTACAAACATTCACACTCTATCAAGTGATAGATCATTTTTAATGTGGAACTATATTCAATCGATAGGGCCTAGTGAGTAGGTAAATATTTTAGAGCGATGCAAACTATTGAGCCTTTGTTGTTGAGATCTCAAAGTTTTAGTGAACTTTTCCTCTAGGGCTCTAATTGTCAAGTAAAATTATACTTTCGAATGTTGACCTAAAACTTTGCCCACATAAAGACATCGATTAGACTAGTTCGTAGAAGAAATTACAGAATTTTTCCACTAAATCTCTCTAATATATGAGTTTTTGTAAAATATAAACACTGTGCTATGGTTATTGTAAAAAAACATAAATATTTTTATAGAGTCATATTTCGAAGATACTTGATCGAAAAATTCTGAAATTTTCTTTTAACAAGCTAGTCTAATTGATTTCTTTACGTGAACAAAGTTTCAAGTCAAAATTTCAAGAATCCTAAAGACTCTTACAGTATTTAACTACTCACTATTCTCTATTGGTTTAATATAGTCGTAACTCGAAAGCGATTTATCACTTGGTAACCTTTCCTCATTAGTACTATCATATATATATACCAACAGAATATTTTCTCAAACTTGCTTTACTTAGGATCTCGATACTTTTCATATGTTCTAAGTAGATATATAATTGCTTTGATCTTATCTCTAATAGATTATCTTGAATAATTCAATATTCATAAGAATCACACGGAAAAAAAATCGATCCTATCTTCAAAATAATATCTTATTTTAAATAGGTTAGTGCCATTATATATTCGGTCGATGTAAATGAATGTACACGTCAAACAGGAATTCGTTGTTCAGCTCAATGGATGGCTGGTGGTATTGGTCTATTATCTGTTTGGACATCTTTATTATTAGTTGTTATGAATGGTATTAAATTTGGTAAACATGGTCTTTTATTTATAACTGTATTTGTAACATTTCTTAAATTTATTGCTGTTTATTTTATGATTTGGATTGGTTATATATTAGCTTTTTATATGATTTGTAAAGATATAATGGA